CCAGGCCTGACACCTCTGCTGGAGGCCTCAGGCCTGGTCAAGGGGCCGATCCGGTGATTGGTGATCAGAGGGTGATGAGGATCAACTCCTCTTGCCGACGCATCAGGCCTGGGCGAGGGGCTGGGGGTCCCCTGCCCAGGCTTGATGTCTGGGCCAGAGGCATCAGGCCTGGGTGGGGGACAGAGCCGGGGATTGGGGGGATATGATGGTCCCCTTGCCCAGGCCTGAAGCCTGGGTCAGAGGCGTCAGGCTTGGGCGGGGGGTGGAGCAAGCGATCAGAGGGAGATGGGGGTCCCCTGCCCAGGCATGATTCCTGGGCCAGAGGCCTCAGGCCTGGGCGGGGGTCAGAGGCAGTGATTGGGGGGAGATGGGGGTCCCCTGTCCAAGCCTGACACCTCTGGCGGAGGCGTCAGGCCTGGGCAAGGGGCCGATCAGGCGATCGGAGGGTGATGGGGGTCTATGCCTCTGTCCAAGGCATCAGGCCTGGGCAAGGGGAAGAGCCAGCAATCAGAGGGGTCTTGGGGTCCCCTGCCCAGGCCTGACGCCTGGGCCAGAGGCGTCAGGCCTGGGCAAGGGGCCGATGCTGCGATTGGAGGGTGATGGGGGTCAACACCTGAGGGCTCCCAGTATGTGAGAGGGGGCAGGCTGGGCTGAGGGACACTCCCCGCCCACACACACACACAGTGCATGAATTTCGTGCACCAGGCCCCTAGCATGTATATAATAAGAGTAAGGAAGCAGAATAAAAATTGTGAGCTTGCAAGAATCACACTGCCTAATTTCAATGCATATTATATAGCTACAGTGATCACAACAGTGTGAAACTGAGGGATAGACACAGACCATTGGAACAGAAAGAATACCAAAATTAGCCCCCAGTACAGGCAACTGATCTATACTAATAAAAGAGAAACATGCAAATTGTCACTCCACTATGCCCACCAGCCAATCAGATGAGTATGCAAATTAATCCAACAAAGATGGTGGTTAATTTGCATACACAGGCATGGAGCGAAGACTGAAGACAACATAGAATGAAGCTAAGTGCTGAAGAAGGGAGTGAAGCTACGGAGAAGCAAGCAGGGCGGCGGAGGTGGGAGGGAAGCCTGCCTCAGCAGGTTTGGCTCCCTTCTCTGCTTCGCTCCGGCCACAGGAAGCCCTATTTTTGCAGGAATCTTCCTGCAATGGGCCTCTAGTTTTTTATAAAGCTGGAAGAGCAGTTTAATGGAGAAAAAATAAACTTTTCAATAAATGGTGCTCTAGCAATGGGATATCCATAGACAAAAATATGAACTATTTAAATCTCACAACTTATACAAAAATTAGCTTATACTGGATCATACATTGAAATGTAATTTTTTTTTTCAAAATAGCAGCAATAAGGACTAACCTCAGTACCAACAACAAGACCCATAAAGGAAAAATTTGATAACTTAGACTCCATATTATTTAAAGATTTTACTATTTAAAATGTTTCATCCTCAGGTAAGAGTATGAACAGACAAGTTACAGATTTGGAGAAAATATATTTTTAAAATATATTTTTATTGATTTCTGAGAGGAACGGTGAGGGAGAGAGAGATAGAAACATCAGTGATGAGAGAGAATTGTGCCTTGACTGGGAATCAAACCATGATCTCCTGGTTCATAGGTTGATGCTCAACCACTGAGCCACACCAGCTGGGCCAGAGAAAATATTTTCAATTCATATATTCTATAAAAGATTAGTATCTAGTAATAGAAAGGAAACAATATAAGTAAGTTCTCTGAGTGACATAGTAAGAAATACAAAGAGAAAATTGAAAAAACTAAAACTTTTTGGGGGGCATGGGGGATGGGTCGAGGGGAGGAAGAGGACTTACATAAACCTCTGGCTGGACTGATTAAGAAAAAACCCAGATGAAAAAGAAGAAACATGGATTCAATAAAAGCGATGACAAAAGGAAATCCTCATGCCAAATCCCAGCAACACGTACATAATGATATTAATAACTTTATGCTATAAAGATTGATCTATGAAAAGAGAAAATTCCAAGGAAGACAAAGCTTGATGAACAATAAAACTTACAAAATCTCAATTTCCTGATAACTTGTAAATAAATTAAGTCTATCATAAAATGCCTTCCTACAAATGAATCTCATGTGCTAGTGACTACAGTCACGAACTTTTCCATACAGTAAAATGGAAAAAGAAATAACAGCCATTTCACACAAGCTGTTCCAAATAGTAGAAATAGTAAAAATGTTTCCCAAAATGCTTTGTGTGACCCCTATAAACATTACACCAAAATGATAAGGAAAATAAAAGTTAGAAAAATCAATGGTATATATGCCTTATGAAATCATGCTTCACCCCAAAAGCACAACTTATATTTGACAAACAAAAAACAAAGCTACATCAGCTATAGCAACCCAAGGAACAACATCCTGGGTTTAAACCAAGAATGAAATCTAGTGAGAGAAAAAATCTCAGCATTAAACAACTACCATGAAACAAAGGGCAAAATCATATCACCATCACAATAGAGAGAAACAATATACCCAAGTTTATCATCCAGTAAAGATTTAAAAAATACTTTAAAAGTACAGCACATAGCCTGACTGGCGTGGTTCAGTGGTTGAATGTCAAGATTCCCTGTCAGGGCATATGCTTGGGTTGTGCACTTGATCCCAGTGTGGGGCATGCAGGAGGCAGCTGAGTAGAGGGTATGCAGGAGACAGCCAATCAATAATTCTCTCTCATTATTGATGTTTCTCTCTCTCTCTCTCTCTCTCTCTCTCTCTCTCTCTCTCTCTCTCTCTCTCTCTCTCTCTCA